TAAATAACAACACTCGACCTTATTTTTCAGCTCAATGATTTTTCTAACTCTTTCGTCAACCTGATGCCTTTCAGCTAAAACCATGGCTTCTCTCTGTTCCGCATTTGAATAGAAAAAGCCTGAATTTACTTCACTGAGATGAAAACCATCAAATTCATGATGATCAGGAAATCATATCCATAAAAGCAGAGGATGTCAGCTGTCCAGAAGACTGCTATCTCAATTTTAAATATTGTATTAATAAAAGGTGAATGCAAGCACACTTCAAACGAAAATACTCTTAACACAATGGTTCTTGCAAATAGATCAATTGTTTGTGAAAGAAATGAAGATCTCCATATGTAAACACTATCTCCACTATTTTATGCACGTGGATAAAAAACAATTACAAAAAGACATCCTAACATAACTATGTAAATGAGAGAGAGAGAGAGAGAGAGAGAGAGAAATATTGAAGGCAAAATGTAACAATTATTTAAAGAAAACTTCTATATATTTACCTTTTCTCGTACTCCAAAGATACATTGCTTGTCAAGATGTAACAATTCTCTGCCCATCGCTTCATATCAGGATGCCTAGAACCATGATCAAGGACAAGACCCTCAACCTACAAGAGGACATAATTGAACTGAGAAACCACAGGGTAACAGCAGATTTTTCTATTCTGTAAAAAATAAAAATAAACCCTCAACCTACAAGAGGACATAATTGAACTGAGAAACCACAGGGTAACAGCAGATTTTTCTATTCTGTAAAAAATAAAAAATAAATAAAAAAACACTATTATGAAGCTTGCACCATGCCCAGTAATTAAAACATAATCTAGATATAGGTAGCAATATCATGATTTACAATTCCAACATCAGAACTTCGAACTAAGAAACAAAAATGAATAGAAAGAATCATTATACTACCAGCAGTAACGCTCATAACATAACATGCAATCTCCTGAGGTCTTCACTACATCTACATTATTAAATACAACTTTACATGACCATAAACAGCCTATCATATAAGATTGCAACTCCAACATAATAGATATCTATAAGCTTAAACATTTGTAGAACTTTTGCAGAAGATTGAGAACCCATTATCAATAGGACTGCCTCTTAATATTCATCAGGAGATAAGGAGTAATCTGAAAAGTAGAATAAAAAAGATAAGATGTTAACATACCAAGCGTGTGTCAACATCAAACTTGTGTCGCATGTGCATAATCTCCACCATGAACAGATCAATGGATTCTTCAGGTTTGCGGATGCAAAGAACCTGTCATTTGAAAAGCCGTAATTTGTCACACATCAAGATGCAAGAGGTGCACTACAAATTCTAGATTCCATAGAATGCGCGGAAAAATGGAAGGGGAAGTGAAATAGCAATCTTTCAAGCATTCTTAATAAGCCGCAAACACTCACCGAATTAACAACTATGTCAGTCAATTGATCCGCCAATGCTTCATATAACTGCACGATGGAACATGTCAGATTCAAATGACATATAATGTGTAAAACAATTCCATTTATCTGAGCAGTATGAAAACCTAGGAGTAAACCGAACCATGCCCAAAACCATTTTAACAGAAATAAATAAAATAAACAAAACACAAATACCTTTGTTCGCAACGTTGTCCTAGCTACCATTTTTAGAATCTCTTTGTCAGGCTCATTGCCCATCACCACAGGAGTTTTAAATTTCTCAATAAATTGAAGTGTTGCTCTTTTGGCAATCTCAAAACCATCAACTATGACACGTGGATGCATCCCTGTAACAAGCATAAACTCACTATTGTCACGGGTACACACAGAAAAGGAAGAAACGAAATAAATAGATTGACTAGAGGGATTTTGCAGAACCACAAGGTGCAAGGATCTAAAGACTTTTATCCTTCCATGAAGAATCAGAGAAATTGTCCCATCATTGGTTACTGATAATTGTGAACCAACCTTCATCAATGTATCGCTCTGATTGTTTCATAAGCTCGCCAATGAATAAGACAGTAGACGTGGTGCCATCTCCACTTATGTCATCTTGGGCAACAGCTGTTCTTGCAATCATAATTGCTGTTGGGTTTTGAATTTGCTGCAACCAATTGATAGAACACCATCAAACAAAGCAAAATAGGGAAATACAAAACATATGCAGAAACATGCTGGATAAATACATTTAATTTAACATACAAATCCATACAAACATTTGGAGAAAACCCTAAACCACAGTTCAATGCACCTTTGGGTCCTTACAAAAGCAAATCCAGTAACATACAGTTTACTTCAAAAGTTTTAGACCAGTAAACAGAGCCTGAGCTAGTGAAAACTGCTTCATTTCGTATTTTGATCCAATGAAGAAATGCTTAAACCCTAATTTCACACACTCTACACAACTAATGGATAAAACAGACCTTGTGCAAAAGCAACTGTACCAAACGGAGATCTAGGGTTTGGAATAAAGAACTGTACCATATCTTTAAGCAAAGTGTTGCCATCTTTAGTGAGCTTGATGTCACCGGCTCCACCAACAAGCCTGCGAACATTATATAGCAAAACGTAAGAAGAAAATAGACAGAAAAATGAGAAAACATACAGAAAAAAGTTGAACTTCCGTACATTTTGATGGTGCCCTTAGGGCCAAGGTTGGTTTTGAGGACGTCCTGCAACCCCTTGGCTGCGTTGATGTTCATGTGCAGAGCCGCCGATTTGTTCAGCACCTCCGCATTTGGATTCAACACTCGTAGAGACATCTTCTTCTTCTTCTACTGCTCGACTGAAAATCAAAGTGGCTGGGAGAGTGTGAGAGTGAGGTTTTGAAACTTTGAGTTCGCGAAGAAGTAGAAGCTCTATGAATCTCAGGGTGGGTTTTAGGGCTTTCTGGAGCTTCGGTTGTTTGAGTTTTCTTTATTCTTTTTCTTCTGAGCCACGACGTCGTATTGGGTCTACTGAACGGGCCAAATGGGTCTCCCCCATGGGTCGACCCATTATACCAACTAAATAAGCCAATTCAAAAGTCCAAAGCCCAAAACAAGAAATGGGCCACATTAAATAGGCCACAACTAATTAAGTTTAGGGTTCAGCCGCCGTTATACAGCATAAAATGATTTTCTTACGTAATATTTTAGCATTTTTAATTACTTTAATGAGTAATTATTTTTTATTTAGTGAATCATTATAATATATTTAAAGCAAATAGCCAAGCGGCTATATTATTTTTATAAAAAAAAATTAGAACGTATAGCCGCGCAGCTATACTATTTTTAAAAAAAATTAGTGGCAAACGAGTACAGCCGATCGGCTATACCCTATACGAAGAATATTTCTAAAGTATAGCCCTCCGGCTATAAGCTTTGAATAGAAAGTTTCAAACGTATAGCCGTTCGGCTATACTCTAAAATAGAAAGTTTCAAACGTATAGTCGAGCGGCTATACCTGTAAATAGCATAATATGGATTTCTCTTTTTTAATTATTTTAATTAGTACTTCTGTTTTAATTATTATTTAGTTAGGGAATAATTAGTATTTAAATATTTTATTAAAGAAAAAAATTAATTACTATTTATGAAGTTAATTAAAATATTGAATACTAATTTTTTACTAAAGAAATAATAATGAAAATATAATTACAAATGAAAGTAACATAAAAATGAAAATAAAAAAACAAAATTTTGTAAAAAAAATTATTGACCTAGAGATATTAAATTTAAATCTATTTTTCATAAACTACATACTGTAGGGTATAGCCGCGCGACGATACTCTTTAAATAGAAATTTCAAACGTATAGCCGCCCGGCGATACTCTAAAATAGAAAGTTCCAAACTTATAGCCATCCGGCTATACCGTTAAATAGCATAATATGAATTTCTCTTTTTTAATTACTTTATTTAGTACTTCTGTTTTAATTATTATTTAGTTAGTGAAAAATTAGTATTTAAATATTTTATTAAAGAAAAAAATATTAATTAGTATTTATGAAGTTAATTAAAATATTAAATACTAAATATTCACTAAAGAAATAATAATGAAAACATAATTACAAATGAAAGTAACATAAAAATGATAAGAAATTATTTAATTACTAAAAACGAAATTGTGTAAAAAAAATTATTGACCTAAGATACTAAGTTTATATCTATATATTTTTTTTGGGTGAAACTTTATATCTATTTTTCATAAACTACATACCATGTCAAAAGTATAGCCGCCCGGCTATACCTTTAAATAGCATAATATGAATTTCTTTTTTTTAATTACTTTAAAGAAAAAAGTTAATTGCTATTTATTAAGTAATATAATTTATGAAGTTAATTAAACTATTAAATACAAATTATTCACTAAAGCAATAATAATTAAAACATAATTACAAATTAAAGTAACTAAAAAATGATAAGATATTACTTAATTACTAAAAACAAATTTTTTTTCAAAAATTATTGACCTAAAGATACTAAGTTTATATTTATTTTTCATAAACTACATACCAGTCAACAGTATAGCCGGTCGGCCAGAATATTTCAAAAGTATAGCCGGTTTAAATTCAAAGTTTCAAAAGTATTAAACTAAAGAAACTAATTAATCACTCTTTTTTTTGCACATAAATCATCAAAAACATATAGAATCAGTTAGTAGCTGTAAATGGCGCATGAATTTGTTTGGAAGGATTAAGCTTCAGCATATATATATAGAGAGAGAGGAATGCTGTAGCTGATTGTTTGGCTACTTGGGTTCACAACTTGGATCTGGGCTGCTGCTTTTTTGAGGAGAGTCCTGCCTGGCTTGGGCTCTGTTGCTTGATGTTTCGTTGGGGTTTGGTGTCTGGGGGGTTTCCCCCTTTCTTCATAAAAGAAAAACATATGGAATCTCTTAGCGCTTGGTGAAGGGCCTTAATCTTTATCAGTTAGTGCTCTTCCTCATGGAACTGTGAGGAAGCATCATAAGGGATATGAGGAGGTCATTCCCCCCAACAGCACAAATGAAAACCTGGGGAAAAGCTGGTACCCATTTGTAGTTCCATCATTCTACTTCATGTTTATCACTATTGTTTTTTTCGCTCGTTCTCAATATTCTAACTTAAATTTGATAATTGGAGATGACTTAATAGGAAATGCACAAGTGGACCCCAAGTGGGGGAATCTCCTATATTTTTTAGATACTAGCTGCTCTCATAACACTGAAATACTAGACATGTTTTTTTTTTCTTTCCATGATCAATAGGAATTGCTAAGTTTATCATTGCCATCATTAACATTATCAGTGTATAAACTAGCCATAATAATTTGCGCGTTTTCTGGTGGTTAAACAAATAGGATTGTCCTTGCTTCCTATTTCTTTTATCACATACTGACCTCTATTTTTGTTATTGCAATTTCTGTTTACTGTCTTATGCTGTGAGATTGAGATAACGGAGTTAGATTAATTCGCTCAAGCTGCTTTTTGTGGATATATTTCTCTGAACCGTATTCAGAGCCGCATGTTTCATACTATTTAATACACTAATGAAAATATACTAGTAAGTAAGTTATTGATTATGTTGATTATGTGAATACCAAACCATTGCAGTGAAAGTGCTGATATGATATGCTTGAATGTGATTTCCATTTACTTGCAGGTTTGTGCTCCAACAGGAGCTGGCAAAACAAACATAGCTATGATTTCTATTCTACATGAGGTATGCAAATGATTGGCTATTCCTGGGTCTCTATTCTCATTTTTGGTAATCATACTTTTTCTCTTACTACTTTGGCTTGATCTCAAATTCACACATTTGTTTTTGCATTGTGTATGAGTTAATCTGGGTTAATTGCATAGTTAAAATGGCATGGGGACGGCTGTAATGTCATATGTGCTGGTATTGTATTTTTTTCTGGGAGGGTTAGTGTGTTAAAGATATCAGCTTGCAAAATAAAGCAAGGAAACTAAGCTTTTGGCTGCCTTAGTTATTCGACTCCTTTTATGTCATGGTGATGTTCTTATAGTACTTTTCATGTTGAATTCAACCTATTTAGTTTTTGAAAATATTCAGTATGGTAGTATATCATCCATTCTGAGATTTAGATACTGAGTCGGCATTGTCTGTGGCAGATTGCACAGCACTTCAAAGACGGTTACTTGCATAAAGATGAATTTAAGATAGTTTATGTTGCACCAATGAAGGTATCCCCCCTATATAACTCACTTCCTTTTGTTTTTTGTTTTTTTTTTCTGAGTGGGTGGGGTGGGAAAGTAGCTATTGAAATAGTGGCTTGTTACTTATTAGCATGTATTTTTCAGGCATTAGCTGCAGAAGTTACATCAACTTTTAGCCATCGCTTATCTCCATTGAATATGACTGTGAGAGAACTTACTGGAGGCATGCAACTTTCTAAGAATGAACTTGAAGAAACTCAGGTCACTTTTATCAAATTCTGTGTGCACCGTGTGCTTTTAACTGTTACCCAAAAGAGGAAAATGAAAACCTTAAAGGCTCCACTTTCTTCTTATTCAGATGATAGTCACAACGCCTGAGAAATGGAATGTCATTACTCACAAGAGCAGTGACATGTCACTTTCAATGTTGGTGAAGATCCTAATTATTGATTAAGTGCATCTATTAAATGATGATGGAGGCCCTGTAATTGAGGCACTAGTTGCTTGAACTTTGCGCCAGGTAAACTTTTACTGAATTGTTAGTGATCTTGGCTTCTTTCTGCTGAATAACTAGCGCCCTATTTAAATTAGTTGAGAACATTTGTACAGTTGCAACTTATGCTCAAGAAAGTTGGAGAGGTATTATCTGTTCCTTATTAGGGTTAATGTGATAGCGGGATGTTTGTATTTAGAAATGTTTATCAGATGTGTTACATTTTACATGTTACTTATGTAGTTTATGATTGGTTGCAAAAAATTTAGTTGCTTATGAACTTTTGTTTACTTTGTTGTTGTTGTTTTTAATGTGTGTGGCAGGTGGAGTCTACACAGACAATGATACGCATTGTAGGCCCTTCAGCCACTCTACCGAACTATTTGGAGGTATTTTGGTCACCTGATGATTTCTTTTATCTGTATTTATTGGCCTTTAAATGCCGCACTCTGAAGTCTCTTTTGTTTATTTGTTAATGTGGATTATTCTTTTATAACCACCCAGGTTGCTACAGTTTCTGAGAGTGAATCCAGAAGCAGGATCTTCTTCTTTAATTCTAGTTATCGCCCTGTGCGCCTCGCACAGCAATATATTGGTATTAGTGAGCAGAATTTTACAGCCCATATTGAATTGCAGAATGAGATACGCTACAAGAAGGTTTCTTTTTCCTTGGGCTCTCCTTTGTGTAACGTATGTATTAGAATGATTATTTAACTGATTGATACTTTTTTCTGCCAGTTTGTTGAATCACTCAGGAAAGGTTATCAGGCAATGGTATTCATTCCTTGAAAGACAATTTAAAGGATATGTTAAGATGATTCACTTTTCCTTATTGTTCTTGAAATTTTCTCTATGCAGTTTATTAGTTCCTTGAAAGACAATTTAAATGCAGAGGTGGCACTTGGTACTGTCACCAATGTCAAGGAAGCTTGTGAATGGCTTGGATATACGTAACTTTTCATAAGGATGAGGCTGAATCCTTTGGTGTATGGTATTGGGTGGGATGAGGTATTCTATGTTGATTTGACTTTACCTATATATGGTTGATTGGTTGATCCTTCTTGACCATTTTCTTGACTAGCAGCCTGGCTTTATTATAAGGACATGATGTATAATTCATTTGTCTTTAATGGTGCTTATGTATATGATATTTGCTTTTGCTTGTTTCAGGTTATTGATATTTTCTTCTGCATTTTGCAGGTTGTTGCTGATCCTTCCTTGAGTTTAAAGCAAAGAGCTCTCATAGCAGATGCTGCACGTTCCCTGGACAAAGCAAAAATGATGCGCTTTGATGAGAAAAGTGGCAACTTTTTGTACAGAGCTTGGTCGAATTGCAAGCCACTTTTATATTCAATATTCAAGTGTTGAAACATAGAATGAAATGTTGAGACGCCACATGAAGGTTATTTTTTTTTGGAACTATTTTATCTTTATTTTTTAATTTATTTTCCTGCCAGTTGCGCCCCATTCATTTCTTCTATATCAAATTTTCAGAAAAGAATCCTACACATAGCCTCAAAATATGTTTCTCTGTATTTCTTGTAATATAGAGTTTCTTTTTAATAATTATCATTTGATTTGATTTCGCTGATGCTGCCTTTGCTGTTCCTTCAGGTAATAGACATGGTAGCCCACTCTTCAGAAATTGAAAATATTGTTCTTCGAGATGAGGAACAGAATGAGCTAGAGACGTTGGTGCGATCATCGTGCCCATTAGAAGTTAAGGGGGCTCCTTCTAAAAAACATGGAAAGATATCCATTCTCATTCAGGTTGATTTATGCTCAACTGGAAAAACGGAAATATTTGTTGCATAATTTATGGCTTATGTGGTTTGCAGTTGTACAGATCTCGTGGCTCAATTGATACCTTTTCGTTGGTTTCTGATGCAGCATACATAAGTGCAAGCTTGGCACGCCTTATGCTTTCACATTTTATCAAATTTGTAGACTGAATTAATTGTGTGTTTTCATACCATACAACTCTGCTGTGACTTGTTTATGATTATCATCAAATAGCATGCTCTGTAGTTAAGTATAAAATTATGATTTTGCACTTGGAGGTTCCTTATTGTGCGGGTGAAACATTTGGTGTGTGATCTTTGTGTTCCATTACATGTTTTGAATGCTGCTTTATACACTGAAGTGTACTGTTTCTGAATTGTTGACTTGACTGTAGGTTATTTATATAGCTCCTTTGAAGGCTATTGTTAGGCCATCGCTGGTCCCATCACATTGATCAATGGCGTCGCAGCCCCCTCCTTCGCTGGTCCTTATTCTGTCTCGGGATGCCCTCCCCTCCCCACCAGTTTAGGATTTGGATTATCTTGCATCGGATCCATCTATCTGGTGGCTTCATTATCCTTCATCATCCAAACAAACAAGTTGTCAACTTTTAGTGGCAGTTATTACCGCTGCGAAAGGTGTAAAAACCGTCAGAAAATAATAAAAACTGTCATTTAAGACATGACTTGGATGAATTTTTCCGATTCCAAAGTGTTTCTCATCTGCTTTCCGGTAGAAATTTATGTACCTTCCATTAAAAACCCTTTAAAAAATTTAGTAAACCATGGTAGAAGATTGTGTTCACCATTTTCCAATATTATGTACAATCAATATATGAAGAAGAGCCATTCCATATCAATAAATAACTTTGTAAATCGATATTTTCTAAAATAATTAACATGTACTTTTCTTATGATTTGATAATCCGTACTTTATATAAAGTCAATTGTACGATAAAATATCGATTAGCAAAATATTCACGATTCCATAAGTGTTCTTAATCTTATATTGTACACATCACATCAACATTTTAAGTTAAAATGAAGGCACTAGCCCAATTTTTATTCCCATCCCTATGCATCCATAGCTTTGCTTTCTAGTTAGAGAGAGACGCATTCATATATTAATTTAAAGCACCGATGGTGAGTCAGTTGGGGTTGATTTTTGGTACTCATGATGCATAGATGAGAATTATCATGTTGAAAGCATTTGGTCTAATAAGAGCTCCTTGTATTCCCTCATGCATGGTGGAGTGGTCAAAAAGGAGGAGAAGAAAGAGAATAATTCAAAGATAAAGATGGCTTTGGCTGTACTGTGCGCAACCCCATCTGCAAATCCATGGGGATTGAAAGACTTTCTTTCTGTTTGGGATTCGAGGATGAAAGAATAAAAAACTTTTACCTCCATAATGCATGTGACTTATGAACAGTGAGGAGAATACGACTAGTCTTCTGATATATATGCGTATAGGATTGGATTTGCTGAGGTATCTTGATATATGACTCAGTTCAGTGGATTGGAAGATATTCAGGTTTCAGTAAATCTATCAAGGTTGAATTTGGTGGTACATAATCTTCCGAATACAACCGACTTAATGTCGAATTTAAGACACGTTTCATGATCTAGTTTTGTTTTATGTTTTCTGCAGTGAAACAGTCCTAAATAGTCTGCAGATATCATCATTGGATAGCATTATGCATGAGATTTGCTTTATGTGAAAGTCTAATAATACTAATGAAACCTTTGTTGAAGAACAATGACGTGCCAAAAGATGGACGGAAGGCAAATATTCCAAAGGCAAGTACAACACAAAGAACAAAATCTAATTTCAAGAATCTACTTCCATTTTTGTTCTCTTTGCTCCTTTTTTTTCCTTTTTTGGGACAACTTGTGCAGGACAGGTACAAAGGTACGTGTTATAGTTCTGTGGCTGCAGAAAACAACACATAGTCCAAAATTTCATATCTAAACCATAATCCTTATTAGGGGAGAAACAAGAACTTCATCAGCTCCGTCCTCAGTGATTAATTGCATGAAATCTCATCAGTCTTAGGATTGTTAATTATTCAGTCTCAGATGTTTTTGTTTTTTCTGCTAATCCCAGTAGAGAATTTGAATATAAAGAGTCAAAAAGCAACTGAGAAGATAATAAAATATCTGAAGAATAAAGTTGATTGTCCATTTGCAAGTCCTTAGAGTTTTAAGAATATTCATTAATCCAGAATCAAAAAGCACTGTCGGCAGGCAACTCTCCACTAGCAAACCACCAGAGATTTTCAGAAGAGGGTTAGTCATAATGCTTTGCATAACCTCACACATAACTTGCTGCATTAGACTTAAATTTGTTGTTTCTGATGATCATGTCTGTGAGATGAATATTGCTTCGATTTATAGATAATGTTTCAAGAAAAGAAAATTTACCGAGGAAAACGATAATGCTTCAATCAAATCAACAAAAAGAAAATGCCAACAGAATATTTGGAAAGAACAAACTAGGAGGGGATGAGCAGCCCTGGTGATAAGTTTTATATGTTGACTTCAATTTCGTTATCTTCTCATTGCTTGACCTTGATTATTGATTGTGAGGGGTGACCAGGAGATGTTTTAGATAAGTTGCTGCATGACAGCATATGCTGAGTTCAGATGCCACTTATTGTCAGATAAAAAGAAAGGAAAGCTTTCTTCCACAACGAAATAGAGTCTCTCTCTTTGGCCATAATGTTCTCATTTTCTATATAAAGAGCTTGCAAGGCAAATCACAATCACATCCACACCACAGAGGCCACAAGCCCACAGAACTATATTCTACTATTCCATACATTGCATGACATTTAGAAGAATGTCAACCATTTCTCTTGATCCAAGGCTTAACCTCCAAGCCATTAAGAACCCTCCAAACCAACATGGAGTTGTTCTTGAAGAAATTGAAGGTCTCCTCAGAGTTCACAAAGATGGAAACATCGAAAGGCCTCCTATTATCCCAAGTGTCCCAAGCACTCTGGCACTACCACATGGTGTCACAGCCAAAGACGTTGTCATTGACAAATTTACCAACTTATGGGCACGTATTTACGTTCCAAGCCACCCTGGAAACCTCCCCGTGCTTGTCTACTTTCACGGTGGTGGATTCTGTGTTGGCTCTGCTGCTTGGAGCTGTTACCATAACTTCTTGGCCAACCTTGCTTGCAAAGCAAGTTGTGTCATCATCTCTGTGAATTACCGTTTAGCCCCTGAAAACCGTCTCCCTGCTGCTTATGACGACGGATTCAAAACTCTTATGTGGGTGAAACAACAAGCTCTGAGTGAGCCTAGTGAGCAAAGATGGTGGTTAAGTAGGTGCAGCTTGTCAAGCTTGTTCATAGTTGGTGACAGTGCAGGGGCTAATATAGCCTACAATGTCACCACACAATTAGTCCCCTGCGACCCCTCCAGTTTAAGACCTTTGAGTCTCAAGGGCACCATCTTGATCCAACCTTTCTTTGGAGGAGAAGCTCGTACTTGGTCCGAGAAATATGCAACTCAGCCACCAACCTCTGCACTAACTCTGTCGAATTCCGACGTGTATTGGCGATTGGCTCTGCCGTTTGGGGCCAACAAAGACCATCCATGGTGCAACCCTCTGGCAAACGGCGTGACCAAGCTGCGCGATTTAAGGCTCCCGGCCATAATGGTGTGCATATCAGAACTGGATATATTGAAGGATAGGAATTTGGAGGTCTGCAATGCCTTGAGTAGCTTGGGGAAAAGAGTGGAGACAACAATGTACAAAGGAGTTGGACATGCCTTCCAAGTTATGCAGAACTCTCAGCTCTCTTATTCCCGGACCCAAGAATTAATCTCTCACATCAAGGCCTTCAAAAACCAATAGCTAGTGTATTTGTGGTTTTTTTTTTCCTTTTACTTTGATATTTTAGGGTATTTTGTATGTATATAGTTATGCTAAAACTTAATATTTTGATACCTGTTAAATGCTAATGAATAAAAAAGTCTGTTATTACTTTGTTATGCATTATTATGTGTTTCTTTTCATGAACTTTAACCAGATGTGTATTATATTATGCATAAACTATCTATGTTTATATTACTCCCGATAAAAATAATAGAAATTCAGCATGTTTGGTGTTCTATCCAACTTTTTAAATTTAAAAACAGAATTTGAGTACAAAACTCAAAAAATCTGTTTTAATCGAAGTTAAAAAAAAAAAAGAACTTTAGAACTCCTTGTTTTTAAGAAAAATCAAAGTTTTTGAATTCCCTACTTGAATAGTATACCAAAAGCGACCTCAGTTACTTTTTTAAAATAGATCGTCAAACCTCTCTTTATATATATAGATAAACCCAACTCTTCAATTCCACAAGACGACCCATCAGACGACACATTCTCTCTCCTTCTCTTGTTTTGTTTCTGATTGTGGATGCTTTAGGAAGGAAGGAAGGAAGTGTAAGACTTATGTTTACTCAAGAAAGTAGGTTTGGCTGAATGATCCATCAGTGTGATGGAGAGTTGTATTTATAAACCAATTACAAGAGCTAGTTACATAGATAACATAGGACTCCTTCTTGATAGGGCAATCCATGTACAGAATTTAAAATACAAATACAACAGACTTTCAACCTTTCAAACGTACAAACAATATCATGAGTTTGAATTCAAATCTGAGGATAGCCTCTGACTAACAGGAAGGAGGCTAGCTAGCTAGGACTATGGAGGAGCCGTCGATGCCGCCGAGGAGCAAGAAGAGAATGATGAAGCAATTGCAATGCAGCGGGAGCACAACGCAGTTGATGGAGCTCCCATTGGATATCCTCCTG